TTCCGGCCCATAACATATATTCCTTCCGGCCCGTAACATAATGCCTTCCGGCCCATATCAACCATAGCATACATAGCACATACAAACGATTAAATTATCATATACAATGCATACAACTCATAACATATCCGACCTTCCGGTCACACAATAAAACCCGTCCGGGTACAATATAGTGAGAAAACTCACCTGACACTAAGAATCAACCTCCAATCATGCTGCTTGCCAAACATCGACCTCTAACTCTGTGTCAAATCCCACAATTAACCCAATCAGGAACTAAGTCCAATTTCTCAATTACCAGGTCTAAAGAGAGACCATCTACCAGTCCATTATTGTCCTAACCCATTGGGCCCACCAAGGCCCAATAATAATTGAGTTTTCCCTAAGGCCCAACCTCATCCTACATGACCAACCCAAGACATCAATTTAATTCTCTAATCACAGGCTCCACTAAGCAGGCTCAAGGATTCCGGCCCATCACTTAAAGCCCAAAAGATCACCTAGTCCAAAAGCCCATAGAGGGGTTACGCGGGGCGTACCTCTCTTCGTACGCTCAGCGTACTCAAGCATGCACAATCTGATCGGGGACCTCAGCCCAGTACACGGGGCGTACTATGATTACGCTGGGCGTACTCTCAGTTTTGCTTAAATACATTTCTGGGTCTTAACCCGCTAAGACCTTGACTTATCTCTTCGATCTGGACTTCCTAACATCTCTTACTCCATAAAGTTATCGACTTTAAGCCTTTGCATGGATGATGAGGTCACAACACATAAAAACTCTTACTTTCATAACCCAAAATGCTCATAACTCATGCATGGATAGATTCACACGATCAAGATCTCATTTTTATGGTTCTTCATCATTAGATACACTTAAAAGGACAGCTATTAAGGTTTGGAGTGCATCAACTCATAAAGTCTCAAGCTTGGGACCAAAAACCCTAAAATGCACAAAACAAAAAGAGAGGGAAAGTTTGGAGCTGTATACCTTCAAATGGTGCTCTAGCCCCAAGGAATCTCAGATCCACAACTTGCTCTTCGACTTCACCCCCTTTCATGCTTCTTCTTGACTCTCCAAATTCCATAAGAACACAACAAGCTCATCATGGCCACCACAAACTTCAAGGACGGATATTAGGGTTTGAGAGGGTCTAACAAACTTAGGAAGGTGGCCAAAAATGAGAAAATCTCTTTCTTTATATAGGGACACTTCACTTAATTAGGGTTTTCCTCTGTGCCTAGTACGCCCAACGTACCCCGCTGGTATGCCCAGCGTACTAGGTGGCTCAGCTTAAGAAAAACGCGCGTATGTACGCTAAGCGTACGCATTATGTATGCCCAGCGTACTTGGTTGCCAACTTCTTGACTTTAAGGACTTAACTTGTCAACCCTCCAAACTTTCATAGCTTCTAAGATAAAACTTCATACATATCGAAAAGTAATGAGATCCCTTACCTTTTAAGCAACTCGCCTCAATCTGAAACCTTCTCGTGCCCGACTCGTGACCCACCAACACAAATCACGAACAATTTCAAACAGGATGTTACAATTCTCCCCCACTTGAATTAGATTTCGCCCTCGAAATCGCCCCTTAGCCATATATAAATTTATACTGCCTCGGAAAGGTACCACCGAATGAATCTCATACCATACCGAACTCTTCTTCCATGGACAACTGAACCCACACAGAACCCCCAAAAATCAAAACTAATCCAACCACTTCGACGCTGACACACTCAAATCGAAAATCTGGAAACGCTAGTGGCCTGACCTGCCGCCAGTCCGCCTACTCAAACGATCACCATGATATCCGCCCTTGAATGCCAAACCCCGATAACTCACTGATCCTCTGATCCACCATCGCGACTAGTCCTTCAACACAATTCAGACTTGCATCCACTTGGATATCCTCCAGTGGAACCATTGCCGACTCATTGGCTATACCCTTCCTTGGATGACACGTGGAAGGTATCATGAATCAGATCCAACTTCACTCTCGTATCAGCAGAAAACTCTCCCTAACTTCACTCTCGTATCAGCTCTCTTTGCCCAGTGATACATAATACACAAGGTCCTCTTTACTCCAACCGGATATTATACTCCCGATAGAATCGTCTCATGTTCCCCATGGCATTTCCGGTATCCGCGGACCGACCCTACACAGGTCTAAGATATCGGGTGATAGCAATAATCCTTCCTCTTAGCACGGGACTCATCTTAGAATTCTAGAATCTCACTTCGTGTACCCACACACCATTAATGCCAACTCAACTCAAGAGTTCGATTCGTACCAACGTTGGAACCTCATGTCCCAATGAAACGTTTATCCCATGACTCACCTGCGCCCAACGTAAATACCACCTTTCCAATTCCCTTATGATGCGACAATCACCACTCAACTAAAATATAGTGATTCCCGTCAAGGGTGGAGACCCCAGTCTCACCCCCGTTTTAACCACCAGACTCCCAAAAACTCAATACTAGAGCTACTCAAGCCCAAGATCCTCATGTATCGTGCTCTAATAAAAGAGTATTCCGTCATAACCACCTCTTGCTGACTAGAGAATACTACGGCTCCTCGTAGCATCACAACATCCTCTGGCTAGTGAGTACCACGGCCCCCCCGTAGCATCACCACACCCTCCTCTGAATAATGAGTACTACGGCTCCCCGTAGCATCATAACACCCTCTCTTCTAAATAATCCCTCTTGATGACACTACCCGAAGGCTCTCACTGGAGTCATAGATACTCGATACACCACCTGCCGTCACAACTCAAGACTTCTTAAAATAATTCGGAAAACAAGGCATTATACTCAAAACCCTTGAACCACCATTACAATACATTCCAAAGTCCTGCCTCAACCACTGACTTCGATTTTCAGCATCCTGCAGGTACAACAATACATTCTCTCCGAATCTCGTAAATAATCCTTCATTTTACCCAACGCGCAACCTCGGTTTATTCAAACACTCCATTAGAACACGAAGGAATCACTAACGTTTTAGAATGAGTTGATGACCATCCGAAGTTCTTTCCTTTACTGCTCAAAACCCATACAAGAATATACATACCGACCCGGGAGTTGGCCGCCCGATTATCTCCCAAATACCTTAAAAGGGCATATAACAATCCATACACTGAACCATAAGTCCTCAGTTGCCAATACCCTCCCTACGAGCTTAGCACCCTTAACATCCCTCACCACCACCAGATTCCTGACCAATGGCCACCTGCCGTGGAGACACACATCCGTACTCATAACGTACCTCATGTCTAATCTCACTCTGCACTTCGCCTTGTCCAATAATAACCCTGGTCTCATGATTCCGAACCGTAGGTCTCTATATCCAGATTTCTAACCGCCATTGAGCAAATCTCTGGTACCCTCCATAAAGTCCGGTTCTCCCCTACTTAGGGTTCGAACCATCACCAATGGACACACTAACAACTATCCCACAGACAGTTTCTACCAGAACATCGCACCCACTCTTGGAGGGCGCTACACGACGCCCCATGATCTTCCTACATAGGGATCAAGCAACCCCAAAATTCCATAAATCTCCGATGAAGTCCCCAAGAACTTCACGTCACGACTAATTCTAGTCCCTCCAAAATCTCCTACCATCCACTACCGAACATCTCAGTTGTCCAGTAATAATCCGGACTATCAAACTGGAAATTCTGAATCATCATACTCCTCATCCTCGCATTCCCAACCAACGCGTGAATCATCACAAGAGCACGGTCACCACTCCCATACTCAATTCCCAACATAGACATAAGGGTCATCGCCCAGATATACTCTTCTGGGTCACCCATTGCTGCAGTTAGCATACGTCCTACTATACTCAAGTAGGGTGCATCCTGGTCCCTGCCCATATCAGTCCCACTAACAACCTGCTCATGGTATACCATTTCTCGCGGCAGACACGCTGCCAAAAACTTTGGTGGAAGATCGCCATCAATGACAACCCGTAGGGTTTACTCCTAACCCCAAAAACTGAGGTCTCATACCTCTTATGCTTCCCTAAAGGAAGCGAGAATAGCACCACTCAGGTCATAGAAAGTGTCCCCTTTCTCTCGGCTGCTTGCTCCTCTCAAGCCGTAACCATCTCTACTCATCCTTGAGTCTTGCGACTACATCTGACATCTTACCAAAAATATTTGAAATGATCTAGGCCTCCCTCTCAAGGGATGCCTCTTCCGGCTCAATCATAGCCCTCAGGCCTTAAACCTCATCGCACCCAATCTCCGCATATTCAACCATGTCCGGATAACCAGAGAACCACAAGCGTCATTCACTACGAACCATGGTACCCAAACCATGACGTCTATTCTCAATCTGCTACGACACATGGTATTCGAACCATGACACTACTCCTTGATCTCTCATCCCCACTTGTTTCCCTAGTACCCTAAGGATTCTTACTTGGACTGCTTACTGATCCAGTGTCTTCGGTAGTACGGGCCCTATCACTATTAGAAAAACAGCCTTTTACAATGCGCAATCAATGACACGCGCTGATAGAGAACACGCATTTGAGCGTGCCCTAAAAATTGATGTCAGTTTTCCAAAATATGAAGCATAGAGGGCACGGATTTTTGCGCGCCCTTAAATTAGTGTCTAATAAAAAATAAAAAAAAAACACGGAGGGCATCTTAAATAAAATGTGTGTCGTCTAACCATGTCGCTTTATAAATTTTAATGAAACACGCGTTTCATCCGAGGGGGAAATGAAATCCAAAAATTAAAAAGCCCGCTTTGTTTCCACCGGCTGAAAACCCTAGCTCTTCCCCGCCGAAAACCCCATTTCTTTCTTTCTTCTCTCTTGATTCTCAAACCTCTATTCGCCTTCCAATATCTGCTGCTTCTTCGCCCCTTCTGAGTGTCTCCCACCGCCGTCGACTTCCAATGAAAGACGACCGTTCTTCCCCATTACCATCTATCTTCCAAATTACTACACTAACCTCACCGTCTTTGTTCTTTACTGTTTAGAGCCAAAACCCTTTCACCACCACCGCCCTATACGAAGCCTCCAGAAACGCAACCCTGACTCCGTTATCGTCTACTTCTTCCCAACACCCATTCATAAGTCCTAAATACATTCCACCGCTTACTGCTTCGTCTTCTACCTCAATCAAATTGAGAGCCACCGGTGTCATAGAAAGAGAATCCTTCACCGTCAGTGTTATCAAAATCAGAGCCGCCGGTGTTATAGAAAGAGAATTCACCACCGCCAGGTCGCCACCTCTAAAGGTTTCTGGTTCGTCTCCATCGCCAATTCGGAATCGTGTTCTTAGGTCACTCGAAAAGTACTCATGGTCGGTGAAATCAAAATGTGAAATCATGTTCTTAGGTCACTAGAAAAGCACTTATGGTCGATAAAATCATCAATTACGTTATGTCGCTACAAGGTCAACTTGAGGTAAGTCAATAATTTCTAATTCTTGTAAATAAATCCACCGATTACAGTGGTTTTGATTTACGATACCACTGTTTCTTTCACCAGCAATTTCAGTTTCAAGCACCATCCCAGCTAATTCTTGGGACTCATTTTTTGTTTGCTGACCCTCCTCCACTTTTTCTTGATTAGAGGCAGAGGCCTTCTCAGGAGTTGGACGCCTCAAATGAGAAACCAACATAATTCATAGGGCTCTCAAGACTGCAAATTTGCTCATCGACACTCAATGTAAAAACTATAAAGGCATTAATTACACTTTGACTTATTAGCTTCTTAACTGTTTCTCTGTTTTTTTAAATTTAATTTAACATTTTAATTTTAGGTTGTAAAGGTGGCGGATTTTGGGGTTGCCCGGTTTTGATTCAAGGGGGAGTATGACAACAGAGACTGGAACTTACAGATGGATGGCTCCTGAGGTTTCTATTTCTTCCTCTTTACATATAATATTTGAAGATATTTCCTTTTTCACTGATAAACCCTAACTAATTTGGGAATCATCCTCTAAACTCTAAATTTACCATGATGAATGGAGCTACTTATGTATTGTCGTGGTTTGCAGGTTATAAATCATCAACAATATGATGAAAAGGCGACATCGAAGTGGAAGCAAGATCAGAAAGACCTGGGAGTGAAAGGGACAGGGAAAAGGGTCGTGATAGAGAGGTTAAAGATAAATAAAGAGAAAAAGAAAAATAAAGGGAATCTGAAGGAAGTGGAATCTTGAATTCCATTTTTGTAGTTTCTTCTAGTGGAAACATAGATTATGAATATTAAACATAAGTTTTGGTTCGTGGATTCTGTGGGAATCTGAAGGAATTGGAATTTTGAATTCCATTTTGTTTTTTTGGTTGCTAAACTAAGGATTGTGATTGATTTCCTTCCCATTTTCTGCCAACCAAACAATTAACAGATTGCAATTCTTTCAGATTCCAATTGCTTTGACATATTCCATTCCTTCCAAATAGATTATGTGAATCAAATGGGCCTTTGTTTTCTTTGCAATATCAACACCATAGATCCCAAACACTATTATTTCTTCATTCTTATAACTAGAATAGGTGTTGTGGCTAAACCTTGTGCTGAGTTTGTTGCTGGAGTACTTGCAATATGGTTAAATGCAGGTGTAGCTGTTCCACTTGCACTCAGTTACCCTGAAGCTGAGTTGTTACATGTCATGACTGACTCGGTTTGCTCTCAAAACAACCTTAAACTTTTCTAGTTTCCTATGTTTTTTATTTGGAAGAAATTGCTTTGTATTTGGATGATATTGCTAAAATTTCTTTAATAGGAAGAAATGAAATTCAATAAAATGACTCTTTTCTCCTTATTCAATTAACATACCCTTTTTTTAATGTGGTTTATGTGGCCTTTGTAAGATACAATTTTATTCTCCTAATAATACAACATTGTTAATTTGAGTTTTGAAGGATGTGTCCATGATTTTGAGTACTGATGATCACAGGGAGCTTATGCAAAAAGTTGCAGCTAAAACTACAGCTCAATTTTCTCTAATACCAAATGTTCCTACTATGACTTCACAAGCAGTAGATAATGGTGTTGTACATCAAAAAGAGAATGTATTTGCAAATAACATAAAAGGTATATATCCATGTTCTTTATATATATATATATATATATATATATATATATATATATATATATATATATATATATATAATTTCATATACAATAATAATATAAAATTGTCTTATTCATACAGACGATGATCCAACATTGATTTTGTATACTAGTGGAACAACTGGGAAACCTAAAGGAGTTGTTCATACACACAGTAGCATTTTAGCACAGGTAATTTAAAGTTTTGGAAGAAAATACTTTAAAAACCAAACTTGTGAAATATTCGTATATTTTTTAAGAAAAAACGTATCTGTGATCTTCTAATTGCTGTTTTCCTGCATAATTTGAGGTGAAAACATTATCAATAGCTTGGGAATACACATCCAGTGATCGTTTTCTACATTGTCTTCCATTACACCATATCCTTAAATAAACATTAAAATAATTACTTTCAATTCCTTTTTTTTTCTAAAAATGTTTCACATTTCTTGTTGATTCTTAATTTAATCTGTACATGTTCATGGCCTCCTCAATGCACTATTTGCTCCTCTTTATGCGGGGTCCATGGTAAGCAATTACTTTTATGTTATTTGGAATTAAGTAAAATTCTTTATCATCACCAATTGTAAGTTTATATATATTTTTTATGTTGTTTTAGGTTGAATTTATGTCAAAGTTTAGTGTGATTGGTATTTGGAAAAGATGGCGTGAATCTTACCCAAAAGATGTCTTTAGTGGTCGTGGCCAAGAGCATCAAGCAGATTCATCTAAGGATCTGTCTTCTAAAATAAGGTTAGCACACTTTTCATCAGTAATGCCCTTTTTGTTGGTGAAATTACCCATCTACCCTTTTGGATCAGCTTGGAACACGCGTCCACCGCTTGTCTCAGTTACGTGATTCTCAACTGTGGAATTTAGTTTTTTCATTAAACTCTTATTGTATATTGGCTGTAAATTAGCTGTAAAGTTAATGCTTATCTTTTCTTGTTATGTATTTTCCTTGTTTAATGAGGTAGGCTCTAGTATAAATTTAGGCTCTCTCTTGTATCATTCATCCCAAGAAACACATTCACCATTTCCTTCTCTCCCCAATGGTGGATCTGTTTGAACATATTTTTTTTAATGCTATTAAAGTTAAATTGTAGGGATAAATGCAAATCACAACAATGTAATGGTTTGGTTGGTTTTCTTTTCTGATTTGGTGCCAGGTGAATCTAATGAATCAAGATCTGCCTTGAAGGTAGGAGTTGTGTTGTCAGGAGGACAAGCACCAGGAGGGCATAATGTTATATATCTGGGATTTTTGGTTAGGATTTTGAACTTCCATTTCCTATTGTTCATATTTTTCATACTTCATATGATAGATTGAAGGATTGACTAGTAAACATCAGCAATATTGGTGCCAGGTGAATCTAATTAGTAAAGAAAGTTGAAGGATTGACTAGTAAACATAAAAGTAGAATGAAAATGACAAGTGATTTTGTGTTGTGTTTACAGGGTTGATGAAAGCGAACAGCTGTCGAGTTAGAAGTGGAAAAGAAAGCTCAAGCCGAAAGAGATAAGATGCTGAAAATGCAAGTGTTGTATTGTTCATTTCAATTGTTAGTATGAAACATAGAATAGATTAGATGAATGCAAATTTATATATTGTAAGAAATAGAATTGTATGACATTAAAGTTTATGCAATGGATTGTATTTTTTTGTATATGGTATTTTATTTCTATTATGACACATTAAATGCAAATTTAATTTAAAAATTAATAAATATATAAATATATATTTTTTTAAATATTTAAATTTACGATACGCAAAAATGTGTGTCATCTTCATTTATGACATGGCCTTTCTTGACAGGGGATTTCTTGATACGCATTGCGTGTCATTAACACGCGCGTCGTAAGGTTACAACACGTGAATGCGTGTCGTCTTCCTTTATGACAGGGCCTTCCTTGATACGCATTGCGTGTCGTAAACGCGCGTCATAATTGCACGTCTTTAATGAGCGTCGTAAATGCGCGTCGTCTCTCTTTATGATAGGGCCTTCCTTGACGCGCATTTGCGTGTCGTCTGAGCCTTTTACGACGCGCAATGAGCGTCATAAAAGGCTGTTTTTCTAGTAGTGTATACTACCGCTCACACCGCATCAGTATTCACCCCAAGTCCTCCTCCTAGATCCTAGATCACAAGCACTCTGATCTCGCTATGCATAGTCTAATCTCTCGTAGACCTCTTGTAAGCTCCTCACTGCTACCTACTCACTCTCAAGTATCTCATAGTAGCAGAAATCTCCTAGGCTAAGGCATCACAAATCATGCCACTCTAGTCCTAACATGATTACCTAGCCTACTCTATTATGCATCTTATATCATATCATAACTCATAACACATAATGTAAGAGTATTTTGGGGATTCACCATTCGAGCGCTGGCTGACCGTACACACCTTCCACTCTGTTTGCTTCCAAAACCTCTTATTCTTTTTTAGAAAATTTTAGTTTTATTTGAAAAAATCTCAAATTCCTCGGTTTGAGTTCAAATACGTCCGAAGGTGCATCCGAATCCCTCAAACCAAGGCTCTGATACCAACTTGTAACACCGTAAATTTTCAAAATAATTTTCGCATTTTATAAAGAACATAATTCATTTATTATCCATAAAAAAACATCATTGTTTGAACTCATTTCAAAACATATATCAATCCCAAGATCTTATAGCATAAAAAAATCCCGTGTGTGTACTGATCAAGTCGGCGCCTTCCCGCGATCATCACTGGTACGTGAAACACATAACACATAACATTGTAAGCATAAATGCATAGTGAGTTCCCCAAGATACTACTTACGCACATACGCCTTTCCAGGCCTTGACCTTCCGGTCCATGTGTCTTAGGGGACTTCCGTCCCGAATCGGTAAACCTTCCGGTCCTACCTGCATCAACCTTATGGTCCACATCACAACGCCTTCCGGCCCATATCATATATGCCTTCCGGCCCGTAACATAATGCCTTCCGGCCCATATCAAGCATAGCATACATAGCACATACAAACGATTAACTTATCATATACAATTCATACAACTCATAACATATCCGACCTTCCAGTCACACAATAAAACCCGTCCGGGTACAGTATATTAAGAAAACTCACCTGACACTAAGAATCGACCTCCAATCATGCTGCTTGCCAAACACCGACCTCTAACTCTGTGTCAAATCCCATAATTAACCCAATCAGGAACTAAGTCCAATTTCTCAATTACCAGGTCTAAAGATAGACCATCTACCAGTCTATTACAGTCCTAACCCATTG